AAAAAAAAAAAAAACAATTTAACCAGGCGCGGTGACTCACGCCTGTAATCTCAGCACTTTGGGAGGCAGAGGCAAGAGGATTGGCTGAGCCCAGAGGTTCAAGAGCAGCCTGGGCAACTTGGTGAGATCTTGTCTCTACAATAAATCAAAAACTTGGCCAGGTGCCATGGCACTCACCGTAGTTCCAGCTACTTGGAAGGCTGAGGCAGAAGGATCCCCTGAGCCCAGCAGGTTGAGGCTGCGGTGACCATGAGCGTGCCACTGCACTCCAGCCTGGGTGACAGAGTGAGACCCTGACTCTAAAAAATAAATTAAAATATAATTTAGAGTTTGTATCTTTCCTCCAAAAGAGGCCATGACATTGAAAGCGGCCTCAAATTGCTCTTAAAGGAGTTGTAATGTGCAGAAGCTTCCCACTCCTGATAACTGATGACTGCCTGACATGTTATATATTTATTTGTTTTGTTGGATGTCTGCCCTATATTACCCCTCTTCCCCCGCCCCCTGCCACTAGGGACAGTGTATTGAGTGTTGTGCACATAGAAAGTGCTCAGGACCAGGCGTGGTGGTTCATGCCTGTAATCCCAGCACTTTGGGAGGCCAAGGTGAGAGGATTACCTGAGCCCAGGAGTTCAAGACCAGCCTGGGCAACAAAGTGAGACCCTGTCTCTATTTTAAAAAAAAAAAAAAAAAAGTGCAGAAAATTATTATTGAAGGAATGAAATCTAAAATGTGAACCAGGGGGTGTTTCTGACAATGTATGTCTTTCTGGGTTATAGAAGTACCTAGGTTTTCAGTGTTTCTATGTAACAACCTTGTATATTTTCTTTCATTTGTATTTTTGTCTTAAATCCTATTCCTGCAAATAATTTTATATAAACTAAACACTGGGCCTGAAAATCGTGTTTCTTTTTTGTACTTGAACTTAGTAAATTTTGATGCAGTTGATGCCTCTAAGACGTGTCCGTCAGTCCATCACGGAGGGGCTGATACCTGTACCAATGTTCAGGGCCAGGCTGGGCATGTGGGAGGAGCCCTGCAGCCTGACTGTCCCCAGAGCCTGTGGAGATGGGTGGTGCTCGTTAACTCGCTTTTTCTCCTTCATGCTCTCAAGACGGCTAGAGCACAGCCTTTGTTAAGTGAAGGCTTTCAGTGGTATTGCACATCTCTGCTTCGCTTACCTCTACAAATATGTCTCCTCTCAGACAAAATTCGTTCCAAGAAGGCTCCTTAGATCTCTCCTGCCATCTAGACACTTGACTCAGAGGTGGAACACAATTTATTCAAGCTGGGAATCCTTCTACATTTGCTTTGAAGCCTCCTTAAATTCTTTTTCACAGTGGACGGGGAAGCAAATATTAACAAATAAATCATCCATGATGCCCAAGAAATGCCCTCTTAGTAGCAACAAAATACCAGTCATTCCAGTTTTTTCTCACTACATTTTTTTCCT